AGGCACCCGATCACGGATCACCTGAACATTAGGCACCCAGGATCACCTGAACTTTAGGCACCCCAGGATCCCTGAACTTAGGTACCTGCTTGGCACCCCGGGATCACCTGAACTTTAGGCACCCAGGATCATCTGAACTTTAGGCACCTTGGGGATCATCTGCTTTGGCGGTTCGCCAAAAGTGCCGGAACGACAGGTCCGGACCTGTACTGTGTCCTGTACTGTACGCTCCTTGAGGACATCCGTTGATATCCCTGTGTCCTGTACTGTACGCTCCTTGAGGACATCCGTTGATGTCCCTGTGTCCTTGTATCACGCTCCTTGAACATCCGTTGGTGTCCCTGTGTCCTGTACTGTACGCTCCTTGAGGACCTCCGTTGATATCCTTGTGTCCTGTTATCGCCCTTGAGGACATCCGTTGATGTCCCTGTGTCCTGCTGTACGCTCCTTGAAGCCGTTGATGTCCTGTGTCCTGTACTGTACGCTCCTTGAGGACATCCGTTGATGTCCCTGTGTCCTGTACTGTACGCTCCTTGAGGACATCCGTTGATATCCCTGTGTCCTGTACTGTACGCTCCTTGAGGACATCCGTTGATATCCCTGTGTCGTCTACTGTACGCTCCTTGAAGACACCCGTTGATATCCCTGTGTCCTGTACTGTACGCTCCTTGAGGACATCCGTTGATATCCCTGTGTCGTCTACTGTACGCTCCTTGAAGACACCCGTTGATATCCCTGTGTCCTGTACTGTACGCTCCTTGAGGACAACCGTTGGTATCCCTGTGTCCTCTACTGTACGCCCCTTGAGGACACTTGTTGGTAACCCTGCGTCATCTGTGCCTTGCGTGTTCGCAGGTATTTGGGACATTTTACTACAGTGTGTTGAGACCTCCTTCGTGACGTTTACATATTCTTACCTCCGTCTGGGGATCAACAATCACGGTGTCTTTATAGCCGCGAGTCTGAGAGTGTAGGTTGATTTATGTACAGGGTAATAGACTCGAGCAGTTCATTAGATCACGAAAGGGATTGCATGAAGTCACACAACGTTTGACAGACACTCAGAATAAAGCGGCGGGACACTTTGCCTTTATGCCATTAAAGAAAACGAGATATCTTTTATGCCATTTCAGAAAACGAGAAATCTTTTATGCCATTACAGAAAACGGGGTTCTCCTCACCACAAAAAAGCAACCTTTCTCATTCCACAGAAAACGCATCACCTGCCACACCACAGAAAACGCATCACCTGCCACACCACAGAAAACGCATCACCTGCCACACCACAGAAAACGCATCGTCCATCACTCAAGAGAAAACGCAAATATTCCATAATGGGACACATAAATATCCCTGACACATTACTGTGCGTAAGTAAAATCAGCAATCCGTCAGTGGTAATCACAACTCGAGGACAAATTTACACAATGCTAACTCAACTTTGAGCCGAATTTATGATCAGAGAAAGAAACAGATAATTAGAGAGAAAGTCTTGGAGTATAAAGAATGGATAAACGAACGTAGTGAGAGAGAGAGAGAGAGAGAGAGAGAGAGAGAGAGAGAGAGAGAGAGAATGACGGTGTGATTGATGGTTGTATGTGTGATTTATTATTATTATTATTATTATTATTATTATTATTAAGGTATTTGTTGTTGATATACAGGCGGGATTGAATGTGTTTTTATTTTTATTTATTAATTAATTTGTTTGTTTGCTTGTTTGTACGTTTGTTTGTTTCTCTTGGCACATATAAATGAAGATAAAAAAGAAATACATGACGGATATAGAGGCGGTATCACCATAACAACGACAGTTAGCATCCCGGGACGACAATATCACCATAGCAACGATAGTTAGCATCCCGGGACGACAATATCACCATAGCAACGACAGTCAGCATCCGGGACGACAATATCACCATAGCAACGACAGTCAGCATCCTTGGGACGACAATATCACCACTTAGCAACGACAGTCAGCATCCCGGGACGACAATATCCCCATAGCAACGACAGTCAGCATCGGGACGACAATATCACCGCCAAGCAACGACAGTCAGCATCCGGGGCGACAATATCACCATAGCAACGACGGTCAACTCGGGACGACAATATCACCATAGCAACGACAGTCAGCATCCGGGACGACAATATCACCGCCAACAGCGACAATTACAGCATCCCGGGACATAATATCACCATAGCAGCGACAGTCAGCATCCGGGACGACAATATCACCATAGCAACGATGGTCAGCATCGGGACGACAATATCACCATAGCAACGACAGTCAGCATCCGGGACGACAATATGCATCACCGGCGCCAAGCTGGGGGGCGGGGCGGTCCCGGGCGGCACTTTTGGGTCTGCTCATCACCCATATCTGCAGCTACTGGAGACGTTAATCCATCCCTTTGTATCGGCGGCAAGTTAATCCTTGTCGTGTCTGACCTAACACCTGACCCACATCATCACGGCCACGTCATGAGCTACACCCTTGCTATGCGCCCCCCGCCACACACACAACCTGTAACCTGTTGAGGATTAAGGAAACAACTTCAAACAAGTACGCCAGTGAGCTCATGTGGTGTGGGTCAGGTGTTAGGTCAGACACGACGAGGATTAACTTGCCGCCGATACAAAGGGAAGGATTAACGTCTCCAGTAGCTGCAGATATGGGTGATGAGCAGACCCAAAAGTGCCGCCCCCCAAAAGTGAAGGATCACGAGATGCTGAAATGCCATACGACATTGAATTGAGGAGAGAAATGTTTTCTTCGCTGGACAGAGTGATCCAAGAAATAACTTTGAGATTTCAACAGCTTCATGAACTTGCTGAGAAATATGCCTTCCTTACCCCATTGAATCTTTTGGATGATAAATATAAGTGTCAAATAGATCACGATCACGACGACATTGATAAAGAGGAGTTCCTCGTTGAGAGAAAAAGACTTCAGCATTTTGTTGCTGTTGCTGCTATAACTATTAAAGACAGAATACAGACGTGGAAAGAAGGCCCCCTTGAACTTTTGCAGTTTATTCAAAAGTATAACCTTAGGAACTCGGTTCCAAATATAGTAATAATGCTGAGGATTTTCCTCACAATTGCTGTTAGTGTTGCTACCTGTGAGAGGAGTTTTTCGAGACTAAAACTGATCAAGAATTACTTAAGATCTACTATGAGCACCTTGCGGTTGAGAAATCTTGCCATACTGTCTATAGAGCGACAATTGACAGATGAAATAGTTTTTGACAATGTCATTGAAGAATTTGCCAACAAAAAAACAAGAAAAGTTACTTTGTAGAAAGTTGTAGTTTTCATTTCAGAAATAAAGATGGGCCTAATTTTTTACACTTTTTTTACTTTTTTCCCTATCCTATATGTCGGTTTTGCTTTTTGTTTAACTGTTACTTATAAAGTTTAAGTATGTTTGGTGTGTATTTAAAGCATACTATATTTGAGTATGTGAAAGTACAGTAATATTATAATGGTACACAAACTATTTAATATATATATATATATATATATATATATATATATATATATATATATACTCTTTCTATATATATATATATATATATATATATATATATAAGTGAATCACTGTGCAATATATATTTTTTACGGCAGGGGCACAGGGGGGGGCAAACTCAAGGGCCGCCCCGGGCGGCACACACTCTAGCTACGCCACTGACAATATCACCATAGCAACGACAGTCAGCATCCCGGGACGACAATATCACCATAGCAA